TATTAATACAATGAAATTTTATATAAAAATAAATAACAAGAAATTTCTTAAAATAATAATTTTATTAAGAAATGTAATAATATATATATAATATTTATTAAAAAAACATATATTTTAATAAAAAAATTATGCAGGAAATAATAATAATATTTTAATTAAAATATAAATTTAAAATATTATTAATATATATATATTTTATAAACATATTAATTAATAATAATTATTAAGATATCTTTGAAAAAACAAAAAACAATATATATATAGAAATTTTGCCAATAGATTTTATAAAGATCTTATTATTATTTTAAAAAAAAAATATCTATTCCCCCCAAATATCCTTGCCGTTGATACTTTGTACATTCCCCCTCCCCCCTTGATTCCCATGTTTATGGTAGCCAAAACAATTCGATTTTTTTCGATAGGCACGGGTCCAGGTCCAGGCCTTAATAAAACATGATGAAGATAATGGGATTTTATCCCTATACCGGGAGCTGATCCAATTGTTGGTCGACGGCCTGGCCCCAACTCACTTGCGGCCGTGCCTGGGCGGTGGGCAATTGATTGGTATGGTACATTGGTAAGGAAGATTCCCAAGGGAACCCCATTTTTTTAAATCAAAATATTCGTCCCATAGTGATGGGAGGGACGTGGCATAAAGCGAAATTTAAATCTACCTTGGTAACAAATAAATAAATTATTCGGGACCGACTCATGCCAAGTCAACCTTCGGTTGGGACTTCATGTGGAAGAGAAATCATGATGCATACAACTCGTCATTGGATCCACGAGAATGGCCGGCAGAATATTTGTGTCCCCTTACAAAAAGATATCAGGAATTCTTTCAACGAAATTCTTCCCCATGAATTTCTGAAGGACGCGCAACAATACGCCCCGGCGTCCGCCCGTTTTGCAATATGTTATTATGGAAATTCCATCAATATAATTTATCATGGATGCGTAGCAAAATGTAATCGCGAACAACAGGGCTGCCCGTCATGGGACCCCTTTTCTGCCTTATCCGACAGCGAATGACTGAAGAAGCCCGTAGCCGCAACACCCGACCCCCAACTCGAATTTGAACTGGCCTTTGCCGATGATACTTTTA